CAGCTTCCTGACATAATGTACCTTCACAAAGAGTTGCATAATATCTGTAATTCAAAAGAGTATTTGACTGTAATTACATTGGCTCTTTGGCAGGAGACAGACATAAAGTGAAATTTGAACGGACAATTTGGCTGTCTGACACAAATGCTTGCAAAATGCAACCGATGCTAACGTGCAAGACCTACTTCATTAATTTAGCTATTTGATGTTTTATACTATAGATCCATCTGAGAAGCTGCAGAGCTGCCGCTATACATTCAACTTACACTGTAAATTTCTGGCTAAACTGAGGCTTTTTGAAGGCCCTTTTCTCTCTCTCTCTCTCTCTCTCTCTCTCTTGCCTGTCATTCACCGGTCTTGTGTGAGTTTTCCGTGTTGCTGACAACTGCATGCACGTCGCGGTTCCTCGCGGGTCTTTTTCAAGTAGCCGGCTATTTAAAAATGCCAGGCAGAGTGCAATATCTACTTTTTGAGGGTCAAAGGGCACAGCGGTCCTGGTTTTTATCTATAAAAAATGTCTCCTTAAGAAGGTATTACATGAATACGTTGCCACCAATCTAACCACAACATGTTTGACTGGCTAGTCTCAAAACTTTATAGGCATTTTTCTCACTTTCAGTGTTTGCGTAGTTACTGCACTTAGACTTTGTAGGGCAGTATACTCCTCTTAATTAAATTCATGTTGAGTGGCTTTCGAATTCAGATATGTGTCACGTGCAGTATTTACTACCACACTGTCTGGTTGGTCCACAAATGCAAAAGCAGACTGAGACCCACGTCACCAAACTTATTGGATGTGAAATCACCCTTACCTGTTACAATGATAAGCCTTTTGCCTGCTGTTTTCTTGCCATCTTAAGTATTTATTAGTGATGAAAAGAAATAAAAGGGTTTCAAATGGGAGGACGGTAGAAAGCGGCCTGGACTAATTTCACAATCGGGACAAATTTCTGCCAGATCGGTTGTTTTGACATTCAGCTTGAGCGGGTTTGTCAGAAATGTTGGTCGTTGTCTTTAGTTTGAGCAGGTCCGTGGTCCATTTTCCTTAATGGCTGCTGTCAAAAGATAACTGTAGTGTGTTTTTTAAATATTAGTCATAGTTTTTACATGTTTATTTGTAGTCTGAGACCTTCAGCTCCATATTTTCTTTTTTTCTTCTCACTTTCCATTGATAGTAGAACTGCACAAAGTAAAGTTGCATTGCGTTGCGTGGCTGTTTTGTTTTAATAAACTTTATTGGAATTGTCACTGGATAAAAAGCTGACCAGGGGTTCCCATGCTTATCAATGTGAGCACAAGAGGCACAGGGCTGGATTTACTAACATCCCAAATAAAGAGTACTAAATTGCGTGTGCATTCTAAAATTTTGCACGTGTAGGCTAATTGTATTAGGCTACCTGCCACCTGGATGATTACTAAGAATTAACTAAGAACAGGAGCAAACACAATGGAGGTGGCAGTATTTAAATAAGGGTTTTTCGTGTTTTAATGGTGTCCGCCATGGACAGTCCGGAAGGAAAGCAGCCAGTGCCACTTGGATATAGAATAATATTATCTAATATTTTTCTTTCATTAGGGCTGTGTCTCCTTCTCGCAACCATAACCACAGCCTATCTCTGCGCAATAGTGATGTGTGATACCACTTAATTCTTATACGATCCAATACCAAGTAATACCCAGGGTGGTCTTGCCGATAGCGATACCAATACTTTTTACATATTTTATTTCTAGTTTAATGTGACCCAGCGGCTCACTTCAAAGAAGCTCCGTCACAGAGCCGTAGCACAAGCATGACTTTGACAGACGGAAGGAGAAGTAGTTCCTATCAACCGAATATAATTAGATCATCCTGGTGACAGTAAGATACTTATGATAAAACACACACTCAGTCCTAATTACTGAGTTTAGATATCGATCCTTTGAGTGTCGATCCTAGAGCAGGAAACGTTGGTATCAGAAATATTGATACTTTAGATCAGCTTACATGTTAATTTGCTGGTGATATCAGGTTTGCACATATTTTTACTCACGCAAACGTTTAGTAAATCTGGCCCACACTGTACAAGATTAATATAAGAACTGTGTCTGCCCAGCTTCAGCAAGGAGCAAGTCTCACTGGCCTTTGGAGGATTGTAACCAAATGAACCGGAGGGCAGTGTGCCATGTCACACACACACACACACAAAAGGAAACACACAGGCACAGTCGAGGCCATGCTGTTTGGTTAAGTGTGCGTATCAGCCTGTTGAAGCATGCTCTCATATGTCTTAATCATTTGTCTGCCAGGCTTTGACACAGCTCAGACACTGGGCAGCCATGTCAGCACACACTTCCTGAACACACACACCTAAACGCAGTGCAACGCGTTACTCCTATGCACACGTATTAAGTGTGTTTAACGGGTGTGACTGGTGCAATGTTTTGTGAAACAAAAATGTGATCATGAAACTGAACACTGGATAATTTATTGTTTGGTTTACGTACAGTGCATGAAAGGGGAACTCGATTTTAAACATCAAAGTCTGTCTGCAGGTCTTGTGGAAAAAGTTGTATAAAGCATTTAGTGGCTCCTGAGGGAGTTTACCAGACCGCTGTAGCCCGCTGCATCATCTACTGCAGGCTAGAGGCTCAAGGCTACTAGCACAACACACCTGAATCTCCAACTGTCAGCAAGTTGGGTTGCATTGTGGGTAATGTATGTGCCAGGTCTTCACAAGAAAGAATTTCACTGTCACTGGTCTCAACTGCTGCTTGTTGATATGCTCATGTTATTTTCTTTTTTATACAGAAATATATAATGTGTTTTTTGAAATTATTTTTTATGGCCAGTTGAAGTTTTAGCAAAATGGTACTTGAGCCCAGTTCAGACATTCACTCTTTATCTTAATGGGCACAGTCTCATCTAGATGTTTTTTCCCCCTTCAGGCTTGTATTATGTAAATATAGATCCACTTTATTTTATTAATATAAGAACTTCCATAATTTAAATTTTGCATAAAATTATGTCAGAAAAGCTATTTGGTTGAGTTTGAAAATCCCCAATTTAATGCGTTTGAAGAAATAAATAAGAAATTATCTACAGCCATAATTTGTTTCTGTGAGCGTATGGAACTGTGAACACGGTATTGTCTATCATACTGAGCTGTGACATGAATGTAACATAACAACTCCAGATATAAGGACAATGTAAGAGTAGAGATTCAGTCTGAGATAGTGTCCTGTGCCTCATTGTCTTTTCAGAAGAACATTTGGTTTGAAACTGATTGAATTAACTGTCACAGAGCTTTTCTGCTCTGCCACGGGCTTGTTGCTGAAAAACCGAGAATGGGATTGGAGTCATCATTTGGCGGACACACACACAAACACACACACACACACCACACCACACACACACACACACACACACACACACACACACACAGTCTGTTGGAGCTGTCTTTCTGGCTTGTCCATGCATGAAACTTCAGCTTTTCTCTCAACCACTCAGCCCTCACTCACAGTTTATGGAAGTGGAGACACATTCACACACACACACACACACACACACACACACACACACACACACACACACACACGCACACGGGGTATATTCTTATAATAGTGCAGTCCAAGCCTAAGGGGGCAGCCCAGTCCTCCTTCAGTCAGTGTGATGTTCTCTGCTCCTTCATCCATCACCAGCTTGTCCCTCATACTAGAATAGAATTACCATTAACCTGCATGCATCTGTGTCTGTGTGATTTTTATTACCTTCTCATGAAATTACATTTCTACCTCAGTGTAAGTCCCTCTGGCTATGTTAGGACAGGCTATGTAGACACAGCCTGTTGCAGTGATTCATATTTTATAAGTTGATCATACATTTGTTAATGAAATAGAATTACTTACGAGAAGGACCTCAAAATTGTACTCAAGTGCAGTACTTTTTTCAGTCAATTTACTTTCCACCACTGGGATTAACACTAACCTTGTTAGTCCTCACTTACTGATTTGACATCTGCCCTCTGATACAAAACTGAAATATTTGTATAAAATGTGTTATCCTCAAATGAATACAAAGAAATAAACAAAACGTTAATTGTCAGCCGGTCAGCTGCTAATTAGTCAATAAGCCACTGATTCTGAAGGATTAATAAACGCTTTTAGCCAATCACCTGATGCTCTGCCTGAACCAATGTAAAGCTGCGTTAGTTTTAGCTTTTCTGAGGCTGGACAGTCCCAGTTTGGGAGAAGGCTCAGGCGGCTCAGACCTCCGTAGGCTACATCTTTGTGGGACATGTCCCTCGAAGACAGCAGCCTCTGAATTGGGACACAGCTGCTGAGTTCTATGAATATAAATCTTGAACTGAATGAACAATAGTCCTGCTGTTTTTTGTTTCCGGTGCAATAAGTGCGCTTTACCACAGAGTGGAACAAAAAGAAATGTCTTTAATGCTGCGGTACAGAACATTTCTAACATCAGACTTTTAGATTAAACACACACAGTGGCTTGGGGCAAGTCAATTCTCATTCTCTGTAGGAAATTATTGATTGTTTTCTACTATAAACAGGACACAGATTACCATCTATGTTTGTTTGTGTGTGTGACTTTACCATGCTTTTTGAAGAAAAAAAGACATTTGTTGATAATATTTTATTGGGAAATTAGTTCTCTGTTCCCCTGCACAGAATGAATATGCACAGACACACACCTAGCATCATTTGTCCTCCCACTTACTCTTGTGTTGTGTGTGTGTGTGTGTGTGCATGTGCATTTTCATGTTTGTGTGAATGTCTCTGCATGAACATGTCCTGGTTTTTATAGCATTATTAAACGAAGGGAAGGTAAAGTCCTCTGAAGGTGTTATCTGAAATGTAATAATTCAACCAGCCGTTTGCAGCAGCACCAGAATGCTCCTTTCATTGCAGCATGTAATTAACATTTATGCTGAGCCTGAATAGCTTCATGAGTGACACTCAATAACAGGAAATAGTGTCTGAACTTCTCACTTGAATATTGTGACTAATTGATCATCATTTGCTGCTGTAAACATTTAATGAAGTGCATCTTTTCTTCCTAATAAGAGCGGACATGACGATTTCAAATCAAGAGATGATTAATGTACAGATACATTTAAATGCTGTGTGGGTGTCTGCGCCTCCTCAGGTGACACAACATTAAACTTTCAAAAGCCTAGATAATCAAACAAATGAGCTTCCTTCTGGAAAATGCAATTTACTGGAGCTCAGGAGTTCTGAGAGGTAAATAACATTTAACAAGGAATTAGTAATTCCTCTTCTTATAATTGGAAAGTCAAGGCTCTGCCTATGTATGGCCGTGGTTTTTTTTGTACTGCTTCACAGCAGTATGAATGGATTTCACCTTCATCTTTCTTTCATTTCTTGTCTCAGGTAAACATGCCAGAGCTGGCCTTGCTGCGTTTCGTGGTATTAGATGACGACTACAGGGGACGATTTCATTGGCCAGTACAGTGTGGCCTTTGAGTGCCTTCAGCCTGGTTATCGCAATGTGCCCCTGCTGGGCATGGCGGGGGACCCCTTACCCCACACCAGCCTGTTTGTCCATGTGGCGATCACCAACCGGCGAGGAGGCGGGAAGGCCCAGCGACGAGGTCTGTCAGTGAGGAGGGTAGGGAGGCGTGGGCGGGAGTACGTCACACTAAGGCACACTGGCATCAAGGTGGTGGACGAGACTTTCAAGCCGGCTAGTGCACCCTCAAAGAGGCAACGGACCTGCGGGAGGATGCTCAGGTGAGAGGGGATATGAATTGTGATTATCAAGCCATTGATAAAATATATATTCCTCCCAGCTGCAGGAAGGGACACTTAATAGACTAACTTTTATAAAAGTTTATCCAAATCATAAAAATAACACTTAATCCCATTGTATCAAGCCATGCACATGGTGTAGATTTTATGTGCTAAGGCAAAGGCTTTAGTTTGACACTGTATTTCAAAATGTTTCAATTTACACTTCAAACATACAAAAGCATTTCTGGTTCTGAGTTCAGTCAGAGTCTGAGCACAGGCACACTTCCAAACACACGTCTATTTATCTGAACAGAACAATAAATGGCATCGTTTTGCTACTTGAAGTACCGTAATTGCCTCCATAAAGTGAGCCATCAGAAGACCAGCATACACCTGTCCCTTTTAACCTCACGCGCCTCTTCAAATCACCTCCCTGGGGAGGTGTACTGGAATGTACTGGCTACACTGGGTAATCCACAGACCACCGTCTTAACATTCAGGATATTTTTTAAAAGAAAGGAAAATTAAAAGTGTCCAGTAAGGATTTTGGATAATCCAGAGTAACCAGGACATTCTCCTGGAAAGAGAAGTTTAAAGAGTTTTTCAATCATTCATTGCTTTGAGCAGCACAAACACATTTCCATTTATCTTTATCGTGTCATCATCTCAAAACCTGGGCACATACAATCAAAACTACCTGCACTGGATTCTCCTGGAGTTGAGTGAGAACACCAAACCAAACACTTTCTCTGGCACTTTGTGTTAAATTGGCTTATATGGCAAACCCCAGCCAGGCAAGAAATGCTAACAGCTGAGTCACCGCAGATCAGGTGTTACTTAGCTTTTGTATTTTTAGGCTTTCTTGATGAAGATGTCTGGTTGTGAGGGTCAATTGGAGTAGCTCACATGATGGTGCTGAAATCAGACACCACCTGAGGTATCTTTGTAGGGCAAAGAAGCCAGAGAGAAAGAGAGTGGAGGAGGAATGCCAGTGACAAAAGAAGAGTGGAGGAGGCGTATCTATAAATACCTGCAAAAATAGAACCTGGTCGCACAGCACCCACCAGCTTATCACTGAATACAAACAATCTAGAGGTGGGCGATGTGAATAGAATCCTCTTTCACTGTGTATCTGTTATTAGAGGTACATATTATGAGATATAAAGTATGTGGACACCCCCGCCTTTCATGTTTCAACATGACAATTCCCCCGTGCACAAAGCTAGATCCATAAAGAAATGTGTTTGGTGTGGAAGAACTTTTAACTGGTTTGCACAGAATCCTGACCTCAACCCCATCCACCACCTTTAGGGTGAACTGTAATGCCGACGGTGAGCCAGACCAGCTCACCAATGCTCTCTGAATGGGAGCAAATCCCTCACAAAGCCATCCCAGAAGATCAGAGGCTCTTTATTGTATGAATAGTTTGACATTTTGGTGAAACAAGTGTACTGGCTACCATGAGAGTTAGATGAAGAGTCAGGACATGGTTAGCCTAGCTTTGCATAAAGACCGGAAGCAGGGGGAGGCAGATAGCCTGACTTTCTCCAAAGTTAAAATAGTTCCATACGCAAATGGCAATATATTATGTGGTATTAGAGGGAGTTGTTTGCTGTAATAATTTCTTGTCGAACAACAGTTTATCCATCCACCTAGTACATCAGTGTAGTGTTTCCCTTGGTCGCCTGACAATCCCTCTGTGACGACAACTTTCTAGGAAGTCACTGTCTCATCTGGTGTTCACAAAGAAATAGTTACAGCACGTAACGCCTCATAAGACCACAAATTGTCAAAAGACATTTCTGTTTGTGTATGGATTAAACAAAGATGACAAAGCCTTAACACCATCCACCCACACACAGATGCAAGCAAAGACAAACCTGCTAGCAACAACGTCAGCAAAGACAGGCCTCCCCATCAACCTAAGACCAATTTAACGTGCATCTACAACACCAGCGATGACTCCATCTGACTGGAAAAAGCAGAGTTAGAAGACATTACCACCTTCACCAGCCTCGGAAGTGTTGTGAGCAAAGGTGTAGGAACAGATGCTGACATTAAAGCCCAAATTGGGAAGTCTAGAGCCGCTTTTGTTAGAGTAAGGCCCATCTGGATCTCAAAAGAAATATGCTAAAACACCAAACTCTGGATATTCAGCACCAACATTAAATCAGTGATGCTTTACGGTTCAGAAACATAGAGAGAAAACAAAATCCTCCTTCTAAAAAGTCCCCACCTTTTGTCAACAAAAGCCTAAGAACCATCTTGATGATACATTGGCCAAACACTATCATAAATAAAGATATGTGGGAGAAAAGAAATCAAGAGAAAGCATGCATCCAGATGAGGAAAAGGAAAAGGGCTGGATTGGACACACCCTAGGGAAGCCCAAAACCATTCCCACAAGAGAAGAGAAAACAAGGGAGACACAGAAACAGCTGCAGGAGGTCAATAGAGAGAGAAAGAAACGAAAGTACATGTGGATGAAGCTGGAGATGGCGGCCCAGGAACGGGGGGCGAGCAAGGCTAGCTATTTCCCACTGCTGAATTTATGTATAGCTAAGCTAATTGTCTCCTAGCTCAAGCTCTGTACCGAACGCACAGACACAAGAGTGGTGTTAATCTTCTCTTCAGACTTTTGGCAAGAATGCATTTGTTTTGGTTTTGTAGTTTTCAACATTCATAACAGGTGTATATGTTTAGGTGTCTGTATAGTTTTGGCCATGTAGTGCAGCTTTATGAATTAAATAACTTAAAGTTTATATTTGGTCCCCCGAAAAATCAAGATGTTCTATGACACTGATGGCACAAATCCTGTAATTCCTAAACTGCCATAAAGGACTCCTGCTCATTCATCTGCGTTTGCATTTCCCACAATAGTTGAATAGCCTCCTCAGTATAAACGGTAGAGCAAAATCCCTATCGTATCATGTATCACCCAACCCTGAACCAACCACTCTGTTAGACATCCTCCCACACAAACCCACACACACACACACACACACACACACACACACACACACACACACACACACACACTCACTCAGTCCTACACAGAAACACATTTGCTCATTCATAAACGGCTTTTAATCTGCCTGTTTCAATCTCCTCATTGTCCTTTCCCTCCGACTTAAACTCTCTCTGTCCCTGTCTTTCTGCCATGAGTCCAGCTGTGGGCTCATCTGCCATAGTCAGTTATTATTCATCATGCCTCTATTGCTGCGTGTCTGACACACACACACACACACACACACACACACACACACAGACACACTCACACTTCCACACAGGTGGGGCGTGATAATCGCTAGTCCAGTTGGGGCTCTGCCAGGTGGTAAAGTGCATTTAGTTAGGCAGCAGAAGTTTCCATTCTAGTGCTTATATGTGCAAAAAATATATCTTTTACCTTCATAATGAAGTGACCCAAAACGGCATTTCAGCAGATTGACACATGACTCCTATTTTGTTATCCATGTCAGATCTGCTAACCAACGCAGTGTTGCATCCTGACACACCTGGAGCAGTTTAAAAATAATCTAAATGCTATGATTTTTCCGGTCCACATTTATGCCATATTGACTTTTTTTTTGCCAAATGCGCTTAAGCTAAGGCTGATTTCACTAGATTAAAAGCAGCAATGACTGCCATATTGATTTAATTCACAAGAGAGACAGCAGATGACAGGCCAAAGGAGGGGTAGTGTGTGTGTGTTTGTGTGTGTGTGTGTGTGTGTGTGCGCACAGGGTGTCACCCTTTCTGACCTTTCCCAGCTTAGTTTTACAGCCGGAACTGTACATCTGATCTAATACTATTTTCTCTCTCCTCCTCTTCCTCCCCATCCCAAACTCTCTCTCTCTCTCTCTCTCTCTCTCTCTCTCTCTCTCTCTCTCTCTCTCCCCCCCTGTGTATTTTGCCATCATACTGTTTCCAGAGCACCACCTCCAGTTTCAAAGAGCAGTGTGGGCTCCCCACGGTGGCCAAACTGAAGCAGTGCATCCAGAGCCTGGCCACCAGGCTGCAGAGCCCCGAGGGCATTATGGGGGCCACCATGGTGCTGAAGGAGGGTTACCCGTGTCTGGAGCCTCTGGTCAGCCTCTCAGAGCCGACACGCAAACTGCTTGCTGCCTACGACACGGTCAGTAAGACAAATGAGCATGGCGTGCATAGAGATGTGGACCCACTACACTGCCTGTTTGTTTGCATAGTAGATTTTACCCAAATGACCTTTCATTTAAATGGGTAACCACTAGTTTTGAATGCCACAATAAGGCTGACTGTTTTTCTTATTGTCAACAAAACCCTGTGAAAAGACCTGATATAACTTATTCCTTTTGTGCCACAGAGCTTCACTGTTAAACTATTAAAGTCATCAGTGAGCCACATTGTCGCACTGGGTGAAATATTCTTCATTGCAATGAGTCAATCCCATGTACAGCGCAAATAGTCACCATTGCACCAAATATATATTAATCAGCGTCTGAAAATAGTCACCAACTAATTTACTCCTGTTTGAGAGATGTTGCTTAAAACTATGGTGTATAATACAGTACTAAAAGTATACAGCCACATTAGCAGCTCTGTTAAGTTGTACTCAGGAACAGTGGTTCTTTGAGCTAAATGCTAATGACCGCATGCCAACATGTCCACAGTTACAGTTAACATGCTGATGTTTAGCAGGTATAATGTTCACCATCTTAGTTAAGTCAATTAAAATACTAACTAGTACCCAACTTAAAGGACCAGTGTGTAGGGTTTAGTGGCATCTAGCAGTGTAGTTGCAGATTGCAACCAACTGAATAAGACTCACGTCACCCTCCACTTCCAAGAGTGTAGGAGAACCTACGGTAGCCACGAAACTTGTGAAAAACACTAAACACTCTAGAGTCTGTGTTTGGTTTGTCAGTTCTGGGTTATTATAAAGGGCTCATTCTAAGGTCTGATCTTATTTTCAGGTGATTATACACTAATGAAAACATATTTATGAATATTTTATTCCCTTTCTGCTAAATCTTACACACTGCTCCTTTAAAGTACTGTGCCCATCTAGTTGGTGGTAAATTTGAGTCTAGACCGAAATTGTGGGCAAAACCAATCCATAAAATTAAATTCAATGGGTTTAAAATGGATTGTTGTGTCACACAGCGGCGGCTCTTTATCCTTTGTGTTAACTTTGAAAATAAAAAAGACTAAGAGTTTAAAGCCTTGCTAGTGTAATGGAAATATGTCCTTTAGTGAGTCTTACTAAACTATTCAATCCAGATGTCATGTAAGGGTTTTATTCTTTGCAAAGGGTCAGACAGACATACAGAGTCTGCAGAATGTAAGACAAAGAGTCAGTGAAGAAACAGGTGACTTTATACTGTACGGGTATTACACCGTCTTAGGGAGGAAGGGAGTAGGGACCAACTGCCCTGAGATGAAGCCCTCTCATGGACAGTCAGATAAGAAAACTCTCTAATGAGCATCTTTCCAGTGGGTACTAACTGCAACCTAATAACATGATCAAACACCACATAGTTAAACATTGGTCTATAATAATGAAGCTTGCAAGGTGAAACAGTAAACACAGTAAAATATAAAATTTCCATCACACTAGCAAAGCAACTATGTGAGACTGTACTTTGAGCTAAACGGTAATGTCGGCATGCTGACAATGACAATGCTGACGTTGAGCAGACAATGTTTACCATATTAACCGTCTTAGCAAGTTAAAATGCTAACATTTGCGAATCAGCACTAAAAAGAACATTCATTCACCAGTCACTGCTATGCTTAGAGCCCCTGGCTTGTTTAAAATCTACATTTTGTGATACCCAACACCGAGTGTGCACACACATACCCACATGCAAACACACTGTCCTTAGGCATTAAAAATGCAGAAAGACGAGGTGACATGCATGAAACAGTCACCCACACTCCTCCTCAAGCACACACGCGCACACACTCACACACACACACACACCCCCTGACTACAAGCTGTGTGTCCTCCTACTCGATCTCCTCTTGCATCAGATCAGGACGGATCTCTCCCACCTGTTTTAGTGCTCAGCTATTACACCTACACACACCTCAGTACTTTTTGTTTTTAACCGTCACACCGTGTTTATGCACGTCAGTGGAGCTAATGATGTTTGAGTGTGAACCCAGCAAATGTGATCCCAGCAGGTCAGTGTCACGAAGCCACAGTTAGTGTGATCTCCAGTCGTACATCACACCTCTTCAGCCTTTCTGGGCGCATACAAGGCTTAGTCATCACACTCATCCTCCTCTCTCGATTATCTGCTGCCCTGGAGACTTCTGTCTTTTTCTTCCCTCCTTCCGTTTCTTTCCACCGATTCTTTATTTAACTTCATTCTATGTGTTGCTTTGCAACTCTGAGCATCCAAATTGTTAGCATTTAAGTTTCTTTGCAAATTCTGATACAATAACTTTGGTACCACGGAGGGCTCGCTCTGCATGGCGAGAGCCTCACCAACACCCTAGTTGCATTGACTCGTCTTTTCAAAGACGCCCCTTACATGCTTTGCGGCCCAGGGCAGAGCGCCCCAGGCTTCAGAGGCAGCTGCAACAACGTCTAACAGCGGGGTGAGAGGATGGTACACCACTGTCCTCCCCTCAAAAGTTATTCCCCACTGTTCGTCACCATAAGTCTTTGCCACTTGTTGATATAAGCACCATGGCATTGAACATAATGAGCCCAAAGTAAATCTTTACATTTGCAGATGATTGCCGCCCAGAAACAGCTGATTGAGAATGCAGATGCTGTTCAGGAGAGGATCGCCCAGGTGCAGAGAGAAGGTAAAGCGCACGGGCCAGTGAGAGATGAATGGTTTTGATGAGCGCTCAGGAATGAAACAACTACAGGACAGGATATGCCCTAAAAATGAAGTCTGACATGTACATCAAACAGCTGAACTTAGTGAGGGCGACTCCTCACAGAATGAGTCTGTCAGTAAACAACACAACAAGTGGAGATATTGTACCTTTTAGATTTGGACACTCCCAATTTCTCAGTATGGGTTTCTAATTAGAAAAGTCTAAAGGCGCTGTCATTTGTCATAAATCTGCTCTCGTAACACACTGCAGTTCTGTTTCAGATGTAATGCACCAGTATGACAGCTGCGCCTTTACAGTGAAAACCAAACATGTGTAGATGTCTTAAACCCTCTCACTGCCTTAGTTGAGTCCTGACCTCTAACTGCCAATATAAATGTCATGAGGATGGTTCTTTTGCATAAATATGTAAATTAAGTATCTGACAACCAACCCATAAAGACTTGTTTTTGACACTTGCCTCGAGTTAGTCACAAAAATTATTCAACCCCTTAGCCTGACAGTTATATTTCACCTGAATTTGAATTGTTGATGCCAACCCACGCCTGTAAACTGATGCTAAGCTCCCTTTTGGGTTTTTCAGGCATGGACTTCCATGAGGATCTTTCTCGGCTTGGGGAAAAGGAGGGACTGAAGGGACGCAAGCTAAGCAAAGCTGTGGAGAGTTTCACCTGGAACATCACTGTGCTCAAGGTACCTCAAAGCAAAACATAATGATAGAAAAACCCTTGGATTTTATAGGATCTGTGGCAGTTAAATGCCTGTTGCTGTGTGGTAATAAGGGTTAGGGGTTGAGACGGTTGAGAGAATCTGAAAGAGTTTAAAATAAGGCTGAAAATTTATTTTGAAAGACGTTTTCTTCCGTGTTTCATTTTAAAAGAAGAATTAAACCTTTTTATTTGCTGCTGCAGTACTGTAGTGGACACACAACTCCAGCTGTCCATACAAAGTTGAATGCAATAAAAAGGAACAAACTCACTCCATGGTTCAGCTAAAGCTAATAGCAGTCTGTCATAGTACATTCAAAATGGTTATTAGTTGTTCTCATTGCTAAAATAGGCACTTACCCTAATTACCTTTTGGCATCCATCTGTTCCTCATCACTGCAATAAAATGCTCTGTTAGGCTTTGAAAAGGCCACTTTCATTTGACACGGAAGACCACTTTATCACCATGCTGGCTTTGGTTGATGTGCTTCTTTGCAATGAATCTAAACTGTGAAATTGTCCCCCATTAACTGCATTTAACTCAAGATGCTGTTGTGTTCTGATGTAAAGAAAAGGACAGATGAAACCTGTATGTGTACTTATTCACCAGGGAGTATTAAATTTGCTCAGCACAAAAATGTTCACCTGCTAAAAGACTTAATGGCTGTGTTCGAAACGGAAGGCAGTTGCCTTGATTCCTCGATACTGTAATAGACAGCTGCAGCAGAAGGCATTTCATTCAAGTGAAGGCAGCTCTGTTTACATTGGTTTCGAACAGCCTTCTAGGCCAGCACTTAGGGCAACGTGTGGCGTCGGCACGCCGTCTTCTCTCTGATAGCCAGAAGAGACGCTAGCCTTAGCATCAGCTAACTAGCTATTGAAAAGCCAAACGGCTAACAGACGCCTCAGAAATCACACTGAACAAACTTGGTTGGTTACAGTCACGGGCTAATATGATAGTTCAGTCTTTAGTTCTCACTAGATTTTCAAAAATCTAAGCGAGAAAACTACTAAAAACTTTTAAAAACATGTATTTCAAATTCGGCTTGTTTGTCCGCCAACTTGGCAGTTTTTGAAAGCTATGGTGGCGGCGGCTGCAGCCGCACTCCTTTGTGGTTGATAGTCAGCATCAAGTCACCATCAATGCTGCCCATTGGCCATTACTGGGGCAGCTTGAAGGCATCTCAGGAGACAGGAAGAGATCGTTCGAGCCGTTTTGAACAGCACTCGATGCCTCGCTGTCCTGTTAGACACCTTCTGAGACAGCAGTTTAGCCCATTTTGAACATAGCCAATATGTGCATTTTGGATCTTTATACATGCTGACATGAAACAGGAAGAGGCAACAATTCAGCTTTTTGCATGTTTACAAATGTTTTGTTTAAGATTTTCAGGATTTAATTTTTTAAATATCTTTAATAAAATTTTTAAGCTGGTGTAATCATTTACTTTTATATTAACAATGGATTAAATGATTATGTATATGTGAAAGAGGTTGTTCTTTGTGACAGACCCACAGAGAAAAAGCACACGACTGGCAGTTCCCCTTAGCTCTCCAAGCTTTCTTATAGCTTCTTGTTTTGGTTTTTCAGTCTGCGAATCAGCTTGTTAACCTTGTTTCCACCTAGAGCAGGCAGCTGTTTTCTGAAGACTACCTGCCCAGCACAAAACAGCAACTAGCTGGTGAATCAAGCAGAGCATCTCACAGCTAAAGAGTCAGAAGTGTTCTTCATGAGTTGGTGAAAACAAAAACAGAACTGAATGGAGAGTGAATGTTGGACTTGGACTGGAAATGCTTGGTCAGCTGCCTCCAAGTGACCCAAAAAACATAAATGAATGCAGCTTTAAATCTATTGCTAAAGATTTCTGCAGTTGTTCAGGATTAGCCTCCTGCCAATCACATCCCAGGAAACAAGCCCAGCTAATAATAGCCTGTATAACAGAATCAAATGCTATACTTCCACCTTCAGCTCTAGTTGAAATGTATTCTCCCTGTGTGCTGCAGGGTCAGAGTGATCTGTTACGGGGAGCTAAGATGGATTCCCTGGATGCCCTGAGGCAGCTGGCCTTGGCATGTGAAGCCTGTGGACTCACCTCCTCGTCCTCTTCCTCCAACTCCTCGTCCTCCACCTTCTCCACTGCCGAGCTGCACTACTCCTCCCACCCCCTGTCAGGCCGTCGAAGCAGCACACACGGCAACGGACGCATCTGATACCCCTCCCCCATCCAAAGATGAAAAGGGAGTGGACAGAATAATTACAGAGGATAAGAGAGAAAAGGAGGCAGGAGAGCGAGAAAGACTGGTGTAAAAAGCACCACAGGAGACATGATTTTCTTTCTGACAGAGTGTATCCCTTTATCCAGTGCAGTAAGTGTCTAGACTAGCCTAGACCAGAGCAGTATATCTGTTAAAGCCTTATAGTGAGTTCAATTTATCACTGAGGGTCCAGCCTGCGGAGAGGCTTTTCATGAATGTCGTAACTTTGAGGTAGTGAAACATAGAAAGGCACTCCACGCAGGTGCTTGAATGGTTCCTACTTTTTTTTTCTGAGAAAAAAAGTGTGACTCACATTATAACTCTGCAGGGTTTTCCCTCATTAGAGGGGAAATCATAGACACCTGAATAATTTGTGACAACGGGGCTGTTGTGGAGCTGACGTTTATGGTTCTGTTAGTGTTTCAGTTCAGAGGTAGAATGCAGAATGGAGTTGATATAGAGCTGATGGGGCGAGTTATTCTTTGCCTCAGCATTTCAGCATGTACCTTTTGAAGGCAGCAAGATATATATGTGATTGTGTGTTTGTATGTGTGTGCACATGGCGGAGAGGGAAAGGTTCTTTAAGAGATTGATTGACAGGATGTGACCCACATAAAACACAGATGAAGAGTAACTAATTCAAGTAGCCTAGATTTATGGTGTAATACTACTTTTTTAAACTCACAAAGCTTTTATGGTATCCCTACTTTTGTTTTTAGATAGAACTAAAGTTACTGCAATAAAACTTCAACTTAAGACAGATATAACAGACAGTAAATGACAGGGAGTATTTGATGTCCACATGAAACCTTTTCCTATACCTGATTGGCTGAGCGTACCCCTTGTCTTTGGTCCTCAAACGCTAAAAACATGGTGGCTGTTCTGGTTACATCACATTTTTCCAAAGCTGTCAAAGCTGCAAATTTTGTTCTTCATTGAATTTCAGATGAAAAATAGACCTCATCTAAAGTACCAACAATGAGGTTTGGGAGTATGGAGCTGTAGAAAGTCACATACATCTGAACATCAGCTGATTTTATCTAATTGACTGACTTGTCTTTTCAGACTTCAGTCTCTTAGCAAATACTAAGCTCTTTCCTGGTTTGTTTAAAAGGCATTAAATAACTCCACAGATTAGTTGATAAATGCAAAACATCAATTACCGCATTCGACAGATTCCGAGGATTAGTACATTTTCTAAACTTTAACTAAAATACAGAAGCACTCACACACAGGGTCTTGTTATCACCACTTGATAGCCTTTGAGTCTGTCATGTTCGCTTGGAGAGTGGATAGCTTGAAACAGGAGGAATGAGGTGTTGTGGAGAAGAGTAATTGGAGAAGTGTGTTGATACTGTAGTACTGCTGTAGTACATGTGTGGATCACATAACCTCCTCACGACACCAGCATGTAGGTAACTGGACTCTGTACGTGTGCGTTTGTGTGTAGGAAGAAGAGATTCCTGCAGCACTGATGAAGTACACTGTATTGATGTAGCAATAATAATAGTGGTACATTATAAGAAAGTCAATGAGGCTGTGTACTGGCTGAAAGATTGAAAACAATATTACTAACTGTATGGCTCAGTGATGCTTATAAATGTGTATGAAAACAACTACAAAAATGCTGTCTACTGATCAAGGCTTGTAGTTGTGCGTACCTGTCTGTGATGGCCACCTCTTGGTCTTTGAGTGTAATTGTGTATTTCTTCTTAATGCAGGAAAACACCTGATATTTGTTCTTTAACTTCAGCTTTTGTACTCATTTTCTTGGATCTTGTAATGCTGCGTTTGAACCAAACTTGACAAAAGTGATGCCAAGCAACACACAGGACTAAGCTGTTAGATTTACCTCCTTGAATATTGTCACACCTTACTATTCTCTGGTGAACAAAAGTATATCTCCACTGTTGGGGATTTTTTAGTCTTTGAAATGAAATGGAAATACATGTCTCAGAATGCATCATCATCCAGCTTTAAAACTACGCTGTTTTCTTGATTTCCAAGTCGTTAGCATTTTGGTTTTGCATTGGTTGATGTAATTTAAAAAGACCAAGTAAGGCAGGTGTGTTTGAAAAGGTTTGATTAACAATTACTCATGATCTAGTGCACCATAGGTATTTTTTAAACAGTGGATTTGAACAAATGTATTCCCACCTGAATCTACTGGAGCTGAAAGTGCAGAGTGGGACATTTTGAATGTTAATTCTGCCCTTTGAGGGAGGCAGGAAGGTCGACCGATGAGAGACGAGGGTCACAGCTAAACATTGTAACAGATCAACCAGCCGGTGGCATTTTGCAGTAGACGGGGTGAGAAACACTGAAACACGGGGAGGACACTGAGGTTTACCAACTTGTTAAGCCCCTTTTAAGTGCTTGTGCAGGACTACTGTTTTTTTCTGAATGACATCCCATATTTTTGTATTCTGTTTTGTTGCCTTTCAGTTATCTACACATCCCTTTCCTTTTTTTAATACTATTAACCTCTTTTGTACCTCCACTTGTCTCCATCCTGTTATTCCTGCTGCTCTTCCGGAGGCTTCAGGTGGGGAGTAACAGAGCTGATGTACTGAGTCATAGCCACAGGAGGAGGTTGACCTACTAACATTTGCGTGTGAGTGTTTTTCTTTGTGTGTGTGTGTGTGTGTGTGTGTGTGTGTGTGAGAGAGAAGACATACGCTCTTAAAAGACATACACTGAACAAAATTATAAACGCAACACTTTTGTTTTTGCTCCCATTCATCATGAGCTGAACTCAAAGATCTATGACTTTATCTCTGTACACAAAAGTCCTATGTCCATGCTGTCTGATCAGCATCTTTATACGCCGCACTTGTGAGGTGGATGGATTATCTCGGCAAAGGAGAAGTGCTCACTGACACAGATTTTGACAGATTTGTGAACAATATTTGAGAGAAATAGGCCTTTTGTGTACATAGAGAAAGTCATGATGAATGGGTGGCAAAAACAAAAGTGTTGCGTTTATAATTTTGTTCAGTGTATGTTGAAGAGAGAGCAAAGGTTGAAAGATAGTGTAAAAATGGACTGATATTGGACTAACGTTTGATTACATGTGTTGTTGGCTATGCACACCTGCAGAGCCTCTTAGTTGGCTGTGAGAATAGACAGAATGACAGCACCTGCTGTTGTGGTCTATAAATAACACTCTGACTCTCTGGGGGCCTTGGTATGTGTGTAAATGTTGGTGTGCTTATGTCTGTCATGATACCATGGTGCCCTAATTCCTGGCCTGATGATGCAAAGTGGTTCTCCTCATTGCCAAACTAATTGCCATATTTTCTCCTAATTGCACTGAAGCAGACAGCATCTTCAGGAGGATCTTCACTTACTCTGAGAGGTGTGCACAAGTATATGAAAACTACAGTTTTCATTGTCATCTCTCAGAGATCTGCTTGGAGGGAGGATCTCTTTGCATTATTGATGCATCAGCTCAAGTAAAACAAACCACGGTGTTGGCTTTCTGTGTTCCGGTTTACATACCTCCTGACACAGGTAATACAACTAGGTTAAAGAGTGAGCATGTGATGGGGCCTACTGTACCTGAGGAGACGCAGTGAAGTAGAAGGTCACAGGGTTCACCTTTTTGTAGGTGAACATAAGCGAAATACAGGGTCAGGTTTCAGTACTTCATTCTCAGAATAATTCATTAGGTACACACTGTATTTACAAAGAAGATCTATGGTGGATAGTGACAACTGTGCTGCAGCATAAAAGGAAAGCAACATGAACAAGAAAAAACTTGCAGCTTGCTTTTTGAGTGGAGACTGACCTTTGCAGTGCGTCAGGAAGATACGTCTGAGCCACTGATTTGTAGCCTGATGATCCAAAAGGACCATACCTGTGTATGGCATGGTTTAACCTACTTACTTCAAATCATTTACTGTATACTTGCAGTAGCAGAACATACCATTGTAGATGCATAGATGTGCTTGTATACCTTCCAGGCCGCTATTGGTTTCAGTTAATGTCAGTAAAAGTCAGCTTGCAGACTTGCTTCAAGTAATTCCATTTCAGTGAACATCATCCTCTGGTTTATGTTATCACATCGTGATGATGCAAATAAAAGCAACTGAATTTCTGTGATATGCATTAAAAAAGAGTCCCCATTTTTAAGCCATTTATATGCAAAAAGCCTGACTGACACAACCTTTCTCACAATGTACATCATTTGGTGTCTGGGTCTGAATTTGTAACGATAGAGTTCATCAATGCGACAGTAACCAACTCTGAGGTTCTCTGCAACTTGTGATTTCCCCAACAGCAGCATGCCACTTTCATAACAATATAACTGAGCATGATGTTCACTGTGATGGATCGCCTCTCTCAAGCATGTTACAGGTCTCCAGAGGCTGCAAAAGTTTGGGAAAACAGTCGGCAGTCAGGCAAAGTACATGATTTGTAGTAAATTAACTGAACTTGCAGAAACACCAGTGTGATCCTTCAAACATTCAAAAATAGGGTTTTAGGTATGAAGCATTTTCCTGCCATCATCATGCCTCTCACACACTCTGCTTCATATGTCACTGCATTTACCTTACCTGATGATATGTTTACCGCTGCAAAAGGGCACTGGGGTCTGCCACTCACTACAGTGCTTTACTATGATGTTCATTATACTGCATCTAATTTCTAACCAAAAGCTGCACCCTGATCCCTGAAGTGTGGACTTCTCGACTTCCCTTTATACCCTTAAAAAGTGGAACAGATCTCTGTAAAGATCTGTCTTTCACTGTGATACAATTTAAAATTTTGAGTTTGAAGGATGGGAGTGGTAGACAGATCTGTGCTAAAGAGCAGGGTGTTGCATTGGGCTGCGTTGTATCTCTGTTACCCACGTGTCTTAACCTAGAGCTAGCTCTCTCTCTGCTCTTCTGTGTGTGATGCTTCCTAGCTTTGCAGACCAGTGGTCAAGTAGCGCTTAACATTAATTTGAATTGGAGAGTCGTTTATGCCTGTCATAGTGATGTGGACAAAGTTGTGTAACACTTGGAAATGTGTAAAGGTATTTTAGGTTCTATATTACCCGTGGCAACTGCAGTGTCTGTGTTGGCCTGTGTCTACGCCGCCGACCTTTTAAATCAGTGTTGCTCTCTGTTCTTACAGTCACTGTATGTTTTTGTAAAATAGAAAAAAAAAGACCAAAAGAAGAGAACTATTTATTGAAGTGTGTTTTAAAAACCATAAATAAATCTAATTAATTAAATGGACCTTGCTTTTATTTTGAAAAGCTACTGTGTTTTCTATCTGACAAGTAATTATATATAACAAGAGTATGTATGCCAGACTAAATAAAGTTATCTTTTCCTGACCAAATCTTCTTGTTGCCTCTAATTTGTCTTCCTCTATGTGCTAATACTGTTACACTGTGTATATGTAGATGACCTCAGGCTTGTTCAGGCACACAATTGTACTGTTAAACTCACATGACATACTCCACCGGTGACCATTAAAAGAATATAAAAACTTGGCTCTTTTTTCATATAGTTAAAGTTTTGCCCATATTGGTAAGTATAAGTATAACTTTCATCATTTACAAGTAAATTTTAAAAGCAAAGTAGGGATTTCTGGCGTCTACTTCTACCAACATGTGTGGAAAAGGGATCAGGTCAGAAGAGGTCAAAACTCCAGCAACTCAATATGGAACAACTTTATTGTGAGACCAGGATGTTGTGTCCACCAGCTGAAACACGCTGGTCTGTTAATAAAGTTGTTCTGTAAATATCTGTAATCAGATTTTGGTTGTCTGAGAAGCCAATAAACATTGCATTTTTTATTGGCTGCCTAACAGGCCTTTTCCCGAAAGAAATTTTGACGTCATAGTAGGATAAGCACAGGCGTAAATAAATAAAGTTAATGATTCCATTCAGATGCTCGGGATTCAGGGTCCTGGGGTTTATGCATGCTGGCTCTCTGTCACACTGTCATGGGCAGAGCAAAAGAGCAATCAATTATGTTATATTAGTAAAAGCACTTACACTATGACAAGTTAAAATATACGGAAGCCGAGAGCAGTTGTGCTTGCAATCATTTTAAAATCTTGACATAACAAAGCTTGTTTTCTTGTGATAAAGGGTTAATTTACTTCGTTATCTTGAGAAAACAAAAGGACAATTTCTCGAAATAATGAGAAATAATTGTAGCCTACTAATGAAATAAACTGAAGTGCTCTAGCCTGTGAAATTGCAGCCGGGATAGTCTTCTCCTTAAATGACGAGGACAGATCTGAATGTTATCTCTCTTTAACTCTAACAGAAAGACACAGTGTAAGTTCTGCCTGTGTTAGACCTTGAATAAAGTACATTCTGATGCACTAATCAAAATTGGGTACACCTTGGTTTGACATTTTCAGCTTGAATCAGTTACAACAGTTGCCAAGACACCGTCTGTGTATGCTGACATGCACTCCAGAGCTCTAATAAATTTTATAAGTAATAAGAGGAAACGACCAAGGCTTAATTTGAAAAAAGAACTATTCATTTTCACAACCTGCATCTCCAACCTGAACATTTTAAACAAAAACCATAAAACAACAGGTGTAGCCTACTCACTTAGTTTCACACCTTATTTTTCCACAGGTAACCTGCACTACATACCTTCATACTGGAGATCCTAATTAAGAAATTAGGTAATGGGCTTGAAATTTTGGAATGATATGCAGTGTCAGTTTATTTGGTATACCTAGCAAAATGCAGTCTAATACAGCATTCCTCCAATAAATTCCAATCTTACGTTACTATTTACTTCCACTCCACTGCAGTTCAAAGATACTTTTAGTACGAGTCGAATAATCAATTGACAGAAAATTAATTGGAAACTATTTTGATAGTCGTTCAGTAATTTTCTTGCAAAAACACCAAACATTAAGTGGTTCCAGATACTGCTTTTGCTTTTAGTTATTTTTTATTATTTTTAATAATTTTAAGGTTTGGACTATTGGTTGGACAAAACAAGTATTGTAAAGGCGTAAAGGAGTATTTCTACAAACCAATAATCAAGAAAATTATCATCAGATTAATCCATAAAAAATATCATCTGTTGAAGTAATTTACAAAATAAGCTCTGCTTCACCCAACTACAAATGAAGTGTAAAATCATGCTTACATTAATGAATGAGTAATAATAACAGCCCTATAATGATATAATATAGTATAACAGCCAAAGGAGAGATTTTTTACTGCATTGAGCCCACTTGAAGTAACATGCCTACATTTTTCTGGATATAAGCTACATGACTTTACTTCTAATGAGTCAGTATATTTTTTACAGTGTGTAAATAAAATATCTGAATAGGGTACTTCGTTGACCAATGGTTTTAGCTTGTGAGAGTAAATAAAAGTTCAACTGGGAGATTTTCCCGCAATGGTGCAGATCCTTTCTGTACAGATGAGTCGCCACTCTGTTGGTTTGGTTGAACTAGCCAGCATGAACAGTCCACTCCTGGTTGAAATGCACTGTTACAGAGTGATGTTTCTTTTACACAAACAATCTTTGGCTGACATTAGCTGCGGCCTGTATAACTTTTTATCCGTTTACATAACCTAATGCCGGTGAGCTTTATCCAGGTACTTCACCAGCAGGGAAATGGAAATTCAAAATGAAAGTGCTACACAGGGCAAGAGGTTAGAAAATCCTCCATGTTTTTAAACAAACTCACAGCTAAGTCAAAATAGTTGATTTAATTACCTAACATTGAGCATTTTCTGTGTACAATATTACCAATATCGCAGGTGAGTTTTATCTTCAAATGAAGTGGTTCAGTTAGACAATGTGGCTAAACTCTTGGCTTGTTTACAACCTGTCTGATCATCTGACTGTGTTTCTTTTCCCTGCAGAACTTGGTTGTAGTGATAAAATGTTTCCACATATCTGGTGAGTACCATGTTATCATAACTGATGGAAAGGATGGCCAAAACCATAAAAAGACCCTAAATTGTGATAAGCCAGTTTTCCTTTAAAATGGTCCTTTGCTATAGTCAAGTTGCTGCAGCTGTTGTTCATCCATAGGCCTGCCAGTTAAACTTGCCTGCCAACACTTTCTTACTCCTTTCTTCTATTTTTATTTTGTAAAGTTGGGTAATCAGTCCAGTAGCTCTCTCAAAAACTAAAAACCATTTTTCCCCTCCACACAGTCTCTAAAGTCTGATATACTTTTCACACTGGTGCCCTGGTTTCTTATCAGATTATGGGCCACCATCTTCCCCGCTGCTGCTGGTATTTGGGACTCTCTTTCTCTGTTGGGATGCCAAAATAGCTGTGGCCCTGCTTTTGTATCGTGGGACCAGAGTGACCCTTTACCCAAAAGGCTTTTCTCTAACCAGAGATGTTGGGGACAAATGTTTACCTTCGCCAAAGCCATGTATTTTCGCTGCTTGCTCTAACATGCTTATCAGATGTTCAGTCGATGTTTGTGTGTAGGTAACTTTGCTGGCTGTCTTATTTCTCTCTTGCAGATCTGATTGTGTGTCATGTCTTAGCTTGTGCTCTTGCAGTTGCCATCTACCTACAGTGGTGTAGTTGCATTTCCTATTGCTTTCTTGTAGTGGCTTAGCTTGATTTCTCTGGCTTGTGTTCTGGCTTGTGCATTATGATGTGTGAATGCTGTCTTTTAATAACTTTTGTGAATGTTCTTTGTTTGATGTTACCATTGGCTGACTGTAAACAGGGCAATGGTTGGAGGTGATGTTGTATCTTGTCCTTCACAGCCCATTCTGATGGTTATTTTTCTGTAATATCGGCTTTATGGGAATGCTTGACATGGCTTTTGTTGCTCATTGGACAGACAGGTTTTGACAGAGCATTACAGAAATATTTGATCTCAACAGCAATCGGTTTGTGCTTTGCTAATCTTCGTGAAGTATCATAAACTTCTGAGCTATGGCATCTGCTGCTTGTCCATACTACGCAACATTTAGAAGAATCTCATACGCTTAATAACTATCTGCTGCATGACATGTCGGATCCAGCTGATATATATATATATATATCAAGCTAGATTTATTCATCTCAGAGCCCATGTTATTCACCACTATTGGCTTATTAAAGACATGTTGATAAGTAACCACAGTAGAGAAATGTTCTAGACAGGTTGTAATCTGGTTCTGGTTTATAAATTTACTTTATTAAATGTTGGTAAATGGTAAAAAAAATGTATGTACATGAAGTGTATAAATAAAATTAAGATACTACTCAGCAGGCTCCACATTTACAATTGTCTACTTTTCAATGAAAAAGAGAGAGGCTGTCAGTTTCATGCATAATTACGACCATGTATGGATATGGTGCGTGGTCATGACAGACTGCAAGGCCTGGCTCATCAGCTGTGCGTGATGATACTCTGTATTACCAGGAGGGGGAGCCAAACATCAAGCTATCTCATAGTTCAACCAGGTAGTTCAGTGCATCCATATATCTAATGCAATGTCCGTTGTAGGGATATGTTTTTAAATTTGTGGAAATGTGTACCTTTTTCCCGTGACCCTGTACGCAGGATAAGTGGTTGACGATGGATGGATGGATGGAGGGTGTACCTTTTTTAATATCATATCAAGGTTTATAGTGATGTGTTGAATCATGACTGAACATGTACAAAATCAACAGTTTATTTTAGGGCTATTACTAAGGGTTATCTTCATTATTGATTGATCTACTGATTTATTATTCACAGAGCTCAAGTTGATGTCCACAAATTGCTTGTTTTTATTGGACCAACAGTCCAACAAAACCCAAATATATTTAATTTACAATGATATGTGACAGAAAAGCAGCAAATCCTGAGAAGCCAGAATATGTTTTGCTATTTTTACTTGACTGGAATGAGAGATTGATTATCAAAACAGTTGCTGATTTATTTTCTGTTGATCTACTAATCGATTAATTGAACTGCCATTTCGATGGTAGTTAATGAGTGCTTGTGGAAAGTATCTTGACATACCTGTTAATGCTGTTATTTATTGTCTCTTATTTGTTGTTGAAGGGCAGTAAAGTCTCATAGTTGCTGTATCTGGCCCCCCTTCTCTCTCCCTCAGGAGGTGTTGGGCAGCAGATGGGCGGTGATGGAACTGTGTGGTAGTGTAGGCGGTGACATGACAAGCTGTCAGGCCCTAATGCAGGCTAACATCTGGAGGTTGCTGGTCACATCACTTCTTGCCTGCCAGCAGGGTCTTCTAGCCCGGGGCCAGAAGCCACCCTGAGGGACGTACACCGAGGGCCAAACCTGGGTCTCTGAGACCGGAAGCAGACAGCAATAAAGGTGTATGTACAACAGGAGATACTTTGCCTTTTACCATGAAGTGAAAGCAGAAAAATAAAGCTTA